AGCAGAAAGATTCCTACAGTGGTTTTATACTGTGACTTTTGTAATTTCTTCAGACATACTATACTATGAAAGAATCTAAAAAAAAAGTCAGGGTATGTCATTTAGAAAAATAAATAATATTTCTAAAAATGTTTGTCCAAAACTTTTAAGTAATTCTGTAGTATGTGGAGTTTTTTTAAAACTCCTAGTATAGCATGCTGAAACCAGGGCCGCCTTAATGCACGGGCTGACCCGGGCTGAAGCCCAGGGGCCTCCAGAGATCGGGGGCCTATCATGAGCCAATTAATAAAAAAACAAAACCTTTTTTTTTCTTTATTCGGGTGTTATCTTTCAGAATATGAAACTTTTATTTCCAAAATCACACGATAAATATATTTTTGAAGCTTGTAAAGGGAAGAAGACAGCTCTCCCTCACCACTCTGCTGTTCTGCAGCGCTGCCCCCCTCCCTCCGCTGAAATTATGAATGCAAGGCGTAGTAATCATAGATTACTGTTTGTTTTCATCTGATTTCAAATAAACAAAGTCTTGGCTTTCAGAATATTAAACTTGTTTCGGCAAATTCAGATGATAACTATAACTTTGAAGCTTCGGCATAATTACAAGCGGAGAACGGAGTAATTTAACGTCACAGCAGGCACAACAACAGCCGGTGTTTCTCGTGAGTGTTTCCCCCGGGAAACAAACACAATACACACACACAAACACACACACACACACACACACTCAGAGTTCCCGTTAGCCGGTAATTACCGGACTACGACCGGTAAAATATGCTGAAGACAGGCAAATCTAAATCTCTCTGGTCAAAGTGTCCGTTCAAAATAATTTCCGTTTAGCGCAATACCGCATCAGTTGCGCAACTTGCGCCATTTATGTGACAGACAAGAATAGTCCATTCTAATGTCTAACACTTAATGTGGAGAAAGAGATGTCCTGTATGGGTTGATTGTGCGTTGATCTGTTGGTAATGCCTCGGTGTTCCGGTGGGCATGTAAACAAATGCTGCGCTATACTTTGCGGCCTCACCCGGTTGCATAGCGACGCTTATTGTTTAGGTGTCTTTTAATAAGCAGGTAGTCCTATCATTAGCAGTAGCGTGGCGTGGGAAAACAATGAGGGGAAGCCAATAATACGTCCTTTCTTTTGGGTCGGGGGTGTGGTGGTCAATGTAATAACGTAACCAGATGAGTGATTACAGCACCCGGTATCATTTTACACAAATTTGTATCAGATGCAGGACTTACACACGCCTGTTATCTAACCGACAGGTCCGCACGCACTCTCCAGCCCAAACTCTAATAAGCATTCATTCACAAACTAAATCAGGAGACCTTTAACGTTTTACGTCCGATTCGCGCCTTTGTTCCTCGCTGTACACAGCTCCAGTTTGGGCATCAGCTTGTCATCAGATTGTATTTGTTGTTGCTGCTGTAGCGGAAGTTTAGTACAATTACTTTTGATGAAATACTCCAAATCTCCACGCTCCATAATTGCACTTGCTTCAGTTGCTTGCTACTTTCTAACGGCGGTGAGAGTGGTGCAGTGGCGCTATCTATCTTCTATCGATTAGATGTATGATTCGAACATTATAAAAGTAGGGTAGACATGTAGATATTATCCGACTGAACAAAACGTGCATTTATCAAACAGGTTCGTTTTCCACTGACCTTATTTCGAGCTATTTTCCTAAATCCTATGGAGAAATCCCATTGCTTTTTTGTCGAGGGAAACCGAGAGCAGCTTACTTCCGGATTTTAGGACGCGTCACTGCAACACTAAGTTGATTCGATTTGATTGGATTGTGAGGCAAGGGAAGCCAGCCGCCTCTGGCTTCCCTTGGCATGGCCCTGACCAATCACAGGTTGGCAGGGGCATCACGTGAGCCTCATCTGATTGGTCAATCCCTCCATTTTTTTTTAACCAAGGGAAGCCAGATTCGGCTGGCCTCCTCTCGCAACAGTGAGTGCAATCTACTGTTTCACCATAACAGGGGCGCTGTTTCACTCTTTGTAAAATACTCAATGAGAATGGGGGAGAGACGGGCCGGCAGCAACACACAGCAAAGGAGAATTATCGAAACAAAACAAAGTATTTTTATTTATTTATTTAAATTATAACTACAATCCGAAAAAACAGGGGAAGCCTGGCTTCCCTTGGCCTCCGGGAGAAAACGCCACTGATCATTAGCTAGAACTAGCTGGATCTGATCGATATGGACATAAACGCGAGTGAAGTCTAATCTAACGGGAGAGAGAGATCAGCTGCTGCTGACGAGTCGACACGCAGCTCTGCATGATCACATGCAGCGGTGAGCGGACACAACACACACTTCAGGTTAGAATATCACACGTAGCTATTTTAATGACCTCTCAAACTACCGTAACTAGTTATAGATATGTTTAGTTTTACTGTCGGGTCACTCATTACTGATCCGCGAGCTGCATGATACTGACGGGCAGTGGCGGCGCCAGAGATTTTCTCTAGGGGGTGCTGTGGGGTAGCTTGACGTTTCATAGAGGGTGCTCAAACATTTAGGGTTTCCCATTAATGCACCAGCGCTACAGTTGAATTTTCTACTGCAACACTTCCCACGCACACACACACAGTGCACCCGCGACTGTTACAATGAAGGCTCGATAATCAGCTCACGGCATATAGGCAGGGGTAAAGTGCTATTTTTACAAGTGGGGAGCGGACCTCACCTCCTCTAGGAGGGTCCTCACCTCCTCTAGGGGGGTCCGGGGGCTAGCTCCCCCGGGAAGATTTGTTGTTACATATTTAAGTTAAAAGCATCAATCTGGTGCACTTTGAGAGCAACATTAAGAGATCTATGGATACATCTCTCAACACCCATACGAAACAGAACTGTCAACAGATTTTCTATTTCTTTATAGATATTTTACAAATCACTCCCCTTTTAAAACAAACCGTTGAGACCCACTGAGATAACTAGACTAAAGTTAACTATCTAAACACTGAGAGAGTCCTTTACTTCACCTGAGTTGAGGTTACCTGAGATTCTCAGTCTGACAGGAGATAGTTATCCCTCCACCTTGTTGTTGAAAAAGCTCCTTATATCCATTAGCTTGGCTAGCTAGCACCAGATGCTAACCACAACGATCTCCGGTAGATACCCACTGGTGCGCGAGGCGAGCTCTCTCGCTCGCTCGCGCACGCACGCACACAAAATGGCTCGTGCCACACACACACACACACAACACACACACACACACACACACACACACACACACACACACACACACACACAGAGCAGGGCTTGAATGAAACACAGAGACCCAGAAGTAAGCTACTTGTACTCACGAGGCCTATTATGTGCAGAATCCCTCTCGCTTTCAGTTGGTTTTGATTGAGTGTCCACACGTGGTCGTTTAAGGACTAAAAAACGATCAATTTTTCACTTTGCTGTTAGCAAATCATTTGGCGCTCTAGCTAACAGGAAGTCAATCAAGTGTCATAAAGTAATTTAGCCTATGGGTAGGTCAAAAATTGAATGGGTGCTGACCATTGGCCTAATCATATCACCTGTGTTGGCTTTATGTTTTTGGTCAAAAATGTGTTTGTTTCACATATGCATTGATGTAATCAATAATATTTCTAATTTAATTTAATAAAAATAATAATAATAATTTTCGGGGGAAAAAAAAAACATATTTATTGGGGGTGCTTTGGCAATCCTGGGGGGTGCTTCAGCACCCCCTAGCTCCCCCCTGGCGCCGCCCCTGCTGACGGGCTGCCAGGAGAGGGAGAGCGCTCCGTTTATTATTCCCGTGTTATTGTAAATTACTGTTCACTTTTAAATAATGTAGTTAATCTACTATAATTAGTTTAATATTGAATCATATCAATTTGTTTTAAAGCTCAATAAATAACAAAGAAGACCTTTGACCGGCACTTTTCTCATTTTATCCGGAAGATTTAAACTTTAACGGACATGTTGACCGGCGAAAAAATATTCTAACGGGAACTCTGGTGACACACACACACACACACACACACACACACACACACACACACACACACACACACACACACACACACACACACACACACACACACACACACACACACACACACACACACACACACACACACCACACACACACACACACACACACACACACACACACACACACACACACACACACACACACACACAAGCTTCCCCCAGACCAGTAATCCAAACGAAAATATCTTCCCTCCGTACTATTTTGATTATTTGCTCCGCTAATCAATCAGATCGATGGATTCCAGAGATCTTTCTCAAAAGTGATGACTCCGAAACAGTCATCACTTAACAGCCAATCAGAATGAGAATATGTTTCACTTCAAATTGCGAGTGATTGAGTGACAGATGCAGGTTGTTTAGGAGAAAATGTCGGAGAAGAAAAAGTTTGAGAGTGGCTCTCGGAAAAGGAAACCTAACACTGATGTCAATTGAGCATGACATTCTTCGTGAGATGAATTTTAAGAACATCAAAAAGAATTTTTCGGAAGCACTGCTAAAGAGGTAAGGCAATGCGGCACTATTCATTGATTCCCAGTAGACTGCAGGTTTAAATGTGCATCGTTTTACATAACTAGGTTTGTGTTAATCCACCGGAGATAATGATCATTCTCATCTACTGATACCTGGCTTTGAGGCCATATGTTGCTGTTCATGGTGCTCAATTAGTTGTGTGTGTGTGTGTGTGTGCGTGTGTGTGTGTGTGCGTGTGTGTGTGTGCAGAGCCTGCAGAGGCTATAAATGACTTTGATTTGTTGTTTAAATAGGGGGCCTACAAAACCCCAGGGCCTGATGGCAGGTTAAGGCGGGCTTGGCTGAAACAAGTCATAGTAAAGTAAAAAGTCACGTGACCATATGTCAGAAAACGTAGTATATTGTCGTGTGCTGAAAACATTTAGAGAAGAAAAGGCAAAATGCAAAGTTTCATATCAATCAGCCTCTTAACTTCCATTAAATGACGACACTAACACGCAGTTTTGAAATTTGTTTTTTTTACTTAAAAAAGATCAAAATAAAGATGTACAATTAAAACCCAAAAAGAAGACGCCATATTACTCTTCAGCTCGAAACAGACGGATGGCAGGACAAACAAAGGCATGACCTGAAATATCTCCAACAGTTTCCTCCTGCCTTTTGGGGTTCAGACGGAAAACATTTAGAAACGACGTCGTGTTCGTCGCCGGCTGCTGCTGATGTGGCTTCTTGTATCCTATTGCAGATTGTCCCAAAAATAAAAAGAGATGAGGACACTTCAGTGGGAAGGACTGTCTGCTACGGTGTGTCCAGCTTCCCAACATCCACAGTGTTTCAATAAAGGAATCACTTTATTATCAACAAACAACCAGTAGCTTTCTCTGGAAACAGACACTTGAAATAACATATTGAGAAACGAATGGGCCTTTTTTTGATCATCGTCCCTTCATGGTTCTCGCCTCACACACATCTATGAAGATATACACCCATATTGGACATTTAAAACCAGGAGACAGACAGTTTAGTTCCTCGGTACAAAAAATAGATTAAAGAATGAGAAAAATAGTTATATTCTGACGGCAGAAAGTTTATAAATACTCATAATAAGCGTCTCTCTGGGTCTACACAGTGAGGGGGTGTTCTGTTTTTAAGGGTTGGGGGTGGAGCTACTTTAACATTCATCGTTGAATATATTAATGAATCTGGGTATCAGAGTATCTGGGCAGTCGATACCCCCTTTTCACATTTAGAGAATACAATAACACATAACACTTTAACTCCTCCGTCATAGTTTTCATTATTGCGATGAATAAAATCTTATTTAAACATGATTTTACAAAAAAACAACTGTCCGTCTGTCCACTACTGCTATGTACATCTGTTTAAAAAGCAAGCATGTTACACAGTCGTCTCTATATACAGCTAAAGTATTTTTTTCACTGAATATACATATTTACTTATCTTCACAGTTTCTCCTATGTTTGCTCATATATTCAATTTCATTAGATTTGTGTTATGAGTACAAATGTGTTCTTCTTCTCCTCACCGGGGCTACTGTCCTCCCGGTGTTGATATCTAGTTCTGCTCGAGTCCGTGGAGCAAATTCAGTTTTGAAAACAATCTTGATTGTAAGTTCAGTTTTTTTTATTTTTTTTATTCCCGATTCACAGCAATCCCAAAAAAAGACGTTTCAAGTTTACAGTTTTCTGGTCTTTATCATATTTCATGATATTATTCCTCCTCGTCTGCTCCTCTTCACCAGGGAATGGCTCCATTGGATTCTCATTGGATTCTCATTGGATTCTCATTGGATTCCCATTGGATTCCCATTGGATTCCCATTGGATTCCCATTGGATTCTCATTGGATTCCCATTGGATTCTCATTGGATTCCCATTGGATTCCCATAGGGTTCCCATTGGATTCCCCTTTTGATTCAAACATCCCCGAAAACAAAAAAGAAAAAAAAGAAAATCTAGATTGTTTTGCTTCCGTAGATTTCCGAGAAAAAAAATCATGGTTCGTTTTTCAACTTCCCGGTTCCGTCTCGCCCTCGTTTCCGGTTCTCTTGGTGGTGAAGAAGTTTCTGGTAGTTTTCGTTGGCGGTGTGATTATTGTTTTTTTTTTTTTTCTGGTTTCAGGATTTAAGGCACTTGAGAGGTTTTTGGTTTTCACGGGAGTTCGGAGGAGACGAGGGCGAGGCCGGAGCTCTGGCGGATCGGAGGTCCCGCGTGGACCGCTTTCGGACAGTCGGGCGTTAAAACCCGTCCGTTCTCCCCGACACTTCCTGTGATGGACAGACGCGCTTTATTCCTCATGGCCCTCTGTGAAGGTCAGCTGAGGAAAAGAGACATACAGAGAGGTGTTTGTGAACAGAGACGAGGAGGAAAAAAGACACGTTTGAAATTGAAGCAGATTGGAGTCGTAGGACGGGTTCGAGATCTTATGAAGCTTTACTGGCGCTATTTATTGATTTGAATTGTTCTTTCTTTAGTGTCATTTTGTACGTTTATGAACCTTCTTTTGAAGGAAGTGTTGGGCAATGGTTGGTTAGGTATTTATTGGAGACAGGTGGAGGTGGGATTGACGCATGGGAGGCGGCATGATGGGTAAACACTTGATCTTTGTACTGTTGGATTATTTGAATATCATTCATAAAGCGTAAAGGGGAAATTTGAAGGGTGTATTTCAAGTTTGTTATGAAAATAAGTAATTGGGCTTTTTTTATCAACTTAGATTTGTTAGAAAATGTGTCTTAACACATGAATAATACTGTGTATTATCTGTTTACATCTATATTTAGGAAGTCAAATATAAAACAAGCACATGTTTCAGGTGTGGGCCATCTTCCGTTATACTTTTAGAATTATAGTTTGGACACGCCTGCTTTAGATAATGGCAGAAATATAGGCTTTAGCCCGTTTCAACACCTTTAATGACTTCTGTCTCCAAGTAACGTAAGAACTAGAACTCCAGTCTGCTTCAGCATTATCTGTTCAAACCAACACTTGAATATAAAGACAGAAGTGTAGCAGGACAGACGTTTCAGAGCCATTCGGGACAGAATGAAGCCAGCCCTCATTACACAGTGATAGTGATAGACAGGGAAGCTGACTCAGCAACATGAAGGGTTTGAAGAGCTGATGGGGGACAGAAACACACCGAAAAAAAGAGTCTGATGGACGAAGACCTGGGGGAAATATATCCAGAGACAAAAAGCAGAAGCTCCGCATCGATAGCCGAGCTCCAGGGATTCCTCTCTTTATTTTAAAGTCATTGGAGTTGGGATTGACGCAACATATGTTTTTTTTAAAGGGAAAACCAGAAGAAAGGCAGCAGAGCATGATGGGTAAACACGATTGTTCTTTGGATTATTGGAATAGATAGATAGTAATAATAATAATTTCTTCCATTCATGTTTGGATTCAAATCAAGGCTTAATCGTCCGTTAAAAACATCCCAACATAACTAAGAGTTTTCGGGACCCTTACTCTCCAACAGCCCCAAATAAACAAACGTAAGAGTTGTTCTTCTGATGTTAGCTGTTATTAAATGAAGCTCTGACCATCATTTCAGTTATTTTTTTAACATTTAACAGTAATCAATAAGAAGTGTAAGAAGTACCGAGATGTTAAACTTCATTAATACTACAGTGTGAACATACAATACTCCACTGCTAGTTTTCTATGTGAAAAACAAAGTACAGACAGGAACAGATGAGCTGCATTTTGATGAAAGGTGTAGACGTGTGAATAAGTAAGACATTGGTCCTCATTTAACATGCCTTTCTGCTATTAGTACACGATGGGTGCAGTAAAACCTGTAATACAGTAAGAAATGTACGCTAAAAACTCCCATGTTGACCTAATTAACTCATAAATAGCAGATTTGATGCTTAAATATTGCATTTATCGTGTATTTTTGACTACTTTAAGTGACTGAAATTATAATTAGCTCTGCTCTGAGGTCAGGATGATGAGGAATCGTTTTTTACCCGGAGATGTGTGACGCTAGCTTGATAAATGAGAACCAGCGTCATGTCTGAGGATGACTCAGCGCTTCCTTTCACATTGGGAGGACCAGGACTTCACATGACCACAAAAGCAGATCAGACAAGGAGGTGGTAAGCCATTTTGAGCCACGTTTTCACCACAGTCACTGAGCAAAGGAAGGAGAGGTTTCACTTACAGATAAGAGGGAGGGGCTTATATGCAGACTTTACGTTCAACCGTCTACATTTAATCAGCTTCCCGGTCGTTAAAACCATCGCTAAACTGGGCTACGTCCTGGATGCTGGTTCTGGGACTCTGGGGGTTAAAAGGGGGTTTTGGGGCTGGGATTGGGACTCTGGGGGCTTTGGGGGGTAAAAAGGGGCTATTGGGGCTGGGATTGGGACTCTGGGGGCTTTAGGGGGTTAAAAAGGGGTTTTTAGGGCTGGGATTGGAACTCTTTGGACTTTTGGGGGTTAAAAAGGGGGCTTCGGTGCTGGAATATGGACTCTGGGGACTTTAAGGGGGTTAACCCTCCTATTGTCTTCGTTTCCCCCCCTTACTTTGGTGTTCACGGTCAAATTTGACCGGTCCTGTTTAAACTGCTATTACATTAACACAGAAACCATTAATCATCACCACATTTCATTTAACCCTTTCAAACTGTACATATTGTATCAGACTACTGGTATACATGAAAAACTGCAGTAAATATACAAAGAATAGACACTGAACATGTATTGCATGTGCCAGGTGTGATCCATGTGGGGGATGGGCACATAAGAGCGGGAAATGTGTCAAATTGTTCTGTGTGTGTGTGTGTGTGTGTGTGTGTGTGTGTGTGTGTGTGTGTGTGTGTGTGTGTGTGTGTGTGTGTGTGTGTGTGTGTGTGTGTGTGTGCCAGCCAGAGGTCGCGTTAACCGAATATTTTCCGTCTATGACGGATTTTTTTTAACAATGACGGACAAATCTGAAAGCAGTCCGTCATTTTGACAGATTAGAACAAACTCGGAACAGCGAGGCTCCGGTGTTATGCCGTGTTATGCATGCCCTCCAAAAAGGAAATTATACCGTTTCCAAACCTAACTGTGCCGTACAAATCATTGAAATGTCTGTGAGTTTTGGCTTTACGCTGTGCACGCTCCCGCGAGGTGCAGCAGCCATGCATAACACGGCGCATGTGAACTGTCCCCCCCCCCCTCGTTGACAATTCACGAGCATGCTCGTCCGTCGTCCCCCTCGTCAGAGTTGTGTAAAGGCCGACGGGTAATTCTGGATTTTGACGGAAGTTTTACGATCCTGTCCGTCAAAATGACGGGCAGCGAAAAAGTCTAGCGCAACCTCTGGTGCCAGCCCAGGTGTGATTCACATGGGGGATGGGCACATAAGGGGGGGGAAGAGTATGTGTGTGTGTGTGTGTGTGTGTTTTATCTGATCCGGATGGTTACTAATTCCTTTTCTTTATGGCGGTCATTATACCGGGAACGCCATGGTGTTACAAAGTTCACTAAATCATCCAAAATGCAATGAAAGTGGTGATCAGCAATTGTATATGTTCAAATGTCTACTGTGAAGGATATCATGAAGCCTTAATGCAATCGAATGTAAAACAAAAAAGTTATGATTGATGAAAGTAGTAAATCTGTCAGATTTGACCCCGAAGACAACAGGAGGGTTAAAAAGGGGTTTTTGGAGCTGCACTCTGGGGGCTCAGGTTGGGTTAAGAAGGGGGTTTTGGAGCTCAGGGGGGTTAAAATGGGGGTTTTGGGGCTGGGATTGGGACTCTTCATACTCTGGGGGGTTATAAAGGGGTTTCTGGGGCTGGCTCTGGGACTCTGGGGACAATTGGAGGTTAAGAAGGGGGTTTTGGGGCTGGGATTGGTATTCTGGGGGGTTAAAAAGGGGTTTTTGGGGCTGGGATTGGTACTCTGGGGGGTTAAAAATTGGGTTTTGGGGCTGGGATTGGTACTCTGGGGGGTTAAAAAGGGGGTTTTGGGGCTGGATCTTGGACTCTGGGGGCTCGGAGGGGTTACAATAGGGGTTTTGGGGCTGGGATGGGGACTCTTGGTACTCTGGGGGGTTAAAAAGAGGGGTTTGGGTCTCCACCTTCATTCTCTTGGCCTCGTTGCGGGACTTGTAGCAGAACTCGATGAGTGCCACCAGCATGGCGAGGCCCAGACCCCCCACCAGGATGTAGAAGACCCCCGCCACATTGCTCAGACTGAGAGCCTGGGACGACTTGTCCTGGATGAAGAGAGAGGGACGTTAGCGGTAGCATTAGCATTGATACTTCACATGTGTACAGGAGTGTGTGGAAAATAACTCATCATGCACACACACACGTTTATCTGTTGTTACGATAAGCAGTAATTCATTTCACTGTAGCATCTTTAGACTTTCATTGTATAACTACACTGTGCATCTGACTTTCCACACACACACACACACACACACACACACACACACACACACACACACACACACACACACACACACACACACACACACACACACACACACAACCCTCTCTGTTGCACAGCTAGCAAAAATGATCTCCTGCTAACTCAAGTTATGTATATTTTAGCAAAAAACATATGAATGTATTCATTTAAAAAACGTGTATTTATTTTAATTTGAAATGTACTTAAAGACAGGTTCAAAAACATAACAAATTCTCCCCCAAATAATATATTGTTCACCAAATATTTCATCATGTTTTTCACACAATCTTAGCTGTAAAGGGCCTTTAAGCACTTTTCTTTCTGTAGAGATACTCACTTAAGTATATATTAGATATTGATATATTGATATATTTATATACTATCATATGTCTATATTGTCTGTTCCTGTAGTAGATGTGTCTACTTATTCAGTATTTTTGTGATATTGTGTATATTGATATATGTATTTTCTACTGTTGATCTATTTACTGTTTATAGCTTATATTCTATTGTAATATATGTTTACCTTTGTGTAATACCAGTTACATTTCTGCAGTTTTTTCCTCAATTTGGGATGAATTAACTACATCTAATCTAATCTAAACAAACTGCTGACAGCATGCTCTGTGTGTAATCTAAAGCAACAGGAAAAGTGTTTTTAAAAAAGCATTTAAAATGTCCTGCATGGCTGACAATACTTGAGGTGAATCTGATCTTTCATTTGTCTGCAGCTTTCACTCTCACCTCCTCACCCTTGTTTTTATTCAAATGTATGCAGCTCTGACTCTCCTCCCACACAAACTGCCTGTCATGCTTTTAAAGTCTCATTTGCAGGTGTGTGTGTGTGTGTCTGTGTGTGTGCGTCGACATATTGTGTTCGTGCTACTAGGTGAAAGACTTCACTGAAGTTAAAGTACAAATACATTCATGTCCAAATACTCCACTACAAGTACAAGTCCTACATTGTCCTACAAATATACTACAAGGATCAAAAGTACTCCATCTGAAGGAATATTTGTCTCCATATGTGATGTATTTTATTGACAAGTTTGCTGCTGTGGGCGAACAGTCAAAGAAAAGTGCAAGTTATTTGACCTCCTTGTACCTCCAACAGTTATTCCACTGGTTTGATCTTTAGAGATGCATTATGTTAATCAACGAGGTTGGGAGCGTTACTTCTCAAATGTAATCTGTTACAACTCCAGTGAGCTACGGTGTATTTATATACGTTCATTGTTTTTTAATCTGCAGCGCATTTCTTCTAATGGACATGTTTGTGACCTATGGGACACCGTAGATACCTGTAACCAAATGTACACAGTGACCTAATCTAGGCACTACAATATAAATGTTTGATTACTTTCTGTTACTTTGGGAGTACCTCAATATCAAGTGCAAGTAGCCTAAATGAAAGCAGAACATCTGATTTGTTCACGTCACTGTTGGGGAATACTGATATATATATCCTAAATATCACGTTTTAAACGCATCAGAACAGCTTTAAAATAAACGTAGTGGTGTAAAATATACATTATTTCCCTTTTAAATGTAGTGGAGTAGAAGTAGAAAGTACCATTTTGGAGTACCTTAATATCAAATGCAAGTAGCCAGAAAATAAATAGTAGGCAGTTCATCCACATATAATATATTTATCTCTATTTTAAAATGCATTGTAACATTTTAATCCTTCTAGTAATCAGATTTTTTTAATGTCTGTTGTCTTTTTTCGGACCCTGAATACCCCTTTATATAAGTTATTGTGTTTAAATGCATTTAAACAGCTTTAAAATAAACGTAGTGGCCTAAAATATACATTATTTCCCTTTTAAATGTAGTGGAGTAGAAGTATGAAGTACCATTAAGTGGAAATACTTGGCTTTAAACTTGTATTTAAGTACAGTACTTGAGTAAATGCACGTTGATATATTCACTGTGATGTTCAGTACATGCCGTGTCTGTTTCTGCTGTAATAACAGAGCAGCGTTACAGAGCGTGTGCGTGGAGTGAGGAGGGGAGGCTGACCTTACTTCCCGAGTCCTTGGGTCCACACTCCCCTTTATCGTACCACCATTTGTTTTTCAGTTTGTCTAAGACTCCTGCTTCGCTCAGTTTCAATACGGCAAGGTTTACAGGCGTTCTTCAAATCACGGGGGTGGGGGTAGGGTGGGGAAAATAACATAAATAACATCATAGGACATGTTATTTTATGTTATTCAATCAGAAGAAGCCCAACAGAGAGCAGCTCAGTACTCTTTAAAAAGTGACGAAGCCGGGAGGGGCCCCACTCACGATACATGTCTCTTTGCTCTTTCATTGGGGGTTTAATTGGGAGATTTTAAAGGGGGCGGAGCTAACGGACATATAAACATGGGGCCCCCGGCTGCATCGCTTTTCTGTAACGGGCACATACTGCCGGGACCTTTTACTTACAAAAACAGAGGCTAGTACTGTCAACACAAAACTATTAGCGTGGGAAAATGTACTTTATGCTTAGAGGTACGTCTGAACCCCAAATATGAGGCTACTTTCATATTATCCCCTGATAAATGACTCTGTAGAGTCTTTTAAATGTCATCTAAAGACTGTTTGGGTAACTTGTGTGCTTTTATTCTATGTTTTTATTGTGTTTTTAGCACTTCTTAATACGTGGCTTGTGTGGTCATTTAATCTTTAATGATTCGTATGGATGCTTTGTCAAGCACTTTGTGACTGTCTGGGTAAAAAGCTACTTACTACATACATTTTACTTACTTATGACATGTCTATTTGAAACAAAAGGACCGGCCTTAAGTCTTTAGGGCCAACATATCAATACATTTTTGTTTTACATGTGTGATTTTGAGAGGTTTACAGTATTGCAGTACAAGTGTTTGTCCATCGCTCTAAAGCAGGGGTGTCAAACTCAAGGCCCGGGGTCCAAATCCGGCCCGCGACTTCATTTCATGCGGCCCCACAAGAGCTTGCAAAGAATATAATATGTTTATTATACGGTTACATGCCGCTTTACAGAGGCACATTGCCCATAAACTACATGTCCCACAATGCATCTCAAATTAGACTTTGTTCTCGGAATTTGACTTTTCTTTTCAAAATGTTACTTTTTGTTCAAAATGTCACTTATTTTTTTTAGTTTTTCCAGAATTTGGCTTTTCTTTTTAAATCATTTTGTGACATGCTCTCTGAAGAGACTTGCAATTGTTTGCCCCAGACTTCTGCTTTCAGACGTAGTTAATTAGGAAGATATTACCCTATCCGATAATAATCCAATGCAGAGTCAATAATGTAATATAATACATAATTGTATATATATTAAATATTTATATATTTATTCTTATATAGTCTTATATATAAAACTGGCCCTTTGAGTGCAACCATGATGCTAATGTGGCCCGAGTTGAAATTGAGTTTGACTCCCCTGCATTAAAGTGAGAGCTGCTCCACCTCGACATCGGCTCAAAGATTGTAGCTCAACCCTTTCAGAACCTCTAAGAATGCATCTGAGATACAGGGTCCCACAATTTGAGTTAGACTGAAGTCAATCCTTAAACTAAATACTGAGTTTAATGCCAGATTAAATGTCATACAGTAAATAATATTGAACATATCGTCTTCAGCGATTGTAATCTTATCTTTAATGTCTGTTTCCTTATTTGTTGTCTTAATATTTGTCGTTTTCAATGTTGCAAATAGAGCTGCTGTGACGCAGGAGGAATTTCAGACTTGATCCAACAATTAAGTATTATTGTATTATATTGTGTTGTATCGTATCGTAGTGTATCGTATTGTATTGTTTCGTAGTGTATCGCAGTGCATCGTATTGTATTGTTTCGGATTGTATCGGATTGTATCCTATCGTAGTGCATCGTATTGTATTGTTTCGTAGTGTATCGTAGTGTATCGTATTGTATTGTTTCGTAGTGTATCGTAGTGCATCGTAGTGTATCGTAGTGCATCGTATTGTATCGTATCTTATCGTATCCTATTGAATCGTATTGGAACATATTGTATTGTATCATATCGTTTTATACTGTATCGTATCATATTGTAAATATTTTTGCTTCGACAGTACTTGCTCTCCTCTCATTTAAAAAAAAATTCTAGCCTTTAATAAGTAACTGAGGGGGGGGGGGGGTCGTCCCGGCAGATGCTCCTGTTAGCAACAAAAACACATTTCTCTTTTCCCCACATCAGGTCATATGGGCAAAGCTACGTAGCTAACCAAAGCTAACCTTCTCGCCACCGCCTCCGCTGCCACACTCTCCTTTGTCGTACCACCACTTGTTTTTCAATTTGTCCAACAGGCCTTGCTCATTGAGTTTTAACACTGCCAGGTTAACTGCGCTTCTTGAAAACGATAAAACATATTTGGTGAGAGGGGGTGAGTATGCCGTCCAATTTTAGGGAGGGAAAGGGGGAGAAGGGGTAAGGGGGGGGGGGTTAAAAGGGAGGAGTAGCAGTAGGAGAGGGACAAGGGTGGACAATGCAGAAATGCTTTAAATGAATACATCCCAAGAACAGAACACACACTCAACACACATCTCTCTCTTCTGACTGCAGTGTTATTTTGTATATATTGATTGTTGTGCTTTAATTTAGGTCTTAATGTGTGCATATGTATAAATGTGTCTTTTGTATTGTGTATATATAGGTATATACATATTTGCATACACATTTATATATATTTGTTTTTGTCTTCGGGATTGTGGGAAACAGTTTTTCGATCTCTGAAAGATTGACAATAAAGTTGACTTTGACTATATACAAGTTGATTAGCTTAACCTGATATAAAGGGTCAATACTTCCTGTTTTTTAAAATAAATATCAGATGTCAGTTGACATAGTTCACATCTAAAATGGTAAGAATTACGTTTGTGTGCATGTAATATCCATCAAACACACATTTTAAAACCCTTAACTTGGTTATTTTTGTTCAAACCAACCAACTTAAAATGTCCAGTTGTAATGTTAGCATTAGCTTATGCTATAGCTATATCTGATTAAATCATACAGAAGATTAGGAAATACAAACTATTTATAATGTGTTTTTGCTTCACAAATAACTTCAACAATGACATTGCAATCTTTTTTTCCAGGTTATTCTCTAATATTTACCCTTAATAAAATATATATATCCTCCATTATTAAGCATTAAATGGACGTGCATGGTCCCCAGAGATCCATTCACTAACTTCTATCATAGATTAGGCTAAAAATGTAGTGCAGGCATCCAGTTTCCTTTTACTTAAACGCCATTGTCTGTTTAATTAAACACCAACGTTTGTTAAATTTAACGTTTGAAAAACGATCAAAGTGAAATAATAAAAATCTGGATTATCTGTGACGATAATCTCTTGCACTATTTTATTTATTTTCTGTTATTTCTTTCACTAATTGTATTGGTTTTATTTGTTTTATGACCTATATATTCATGTTGCATTGTTGGAGGAGCCATATCTAAACTGTAGCTACATGACAATAAAGCCTTGAATTGAAAACTATGGTTCGCTAATAGAAATGGGTTTGCTTTAAATTATCTACAGATTGGGAATTGCAGGAAACAATTACACAAATTAGATTGTAAGTATATATATGTAAATGAAACATGTTGTTATTTCTACCCTAGCAAAGACAAACACATAGGGAAAGCTAATTGGGTAATTGATAGTTTATTTTCCTTTGCCATGTGACACGTCTTCAACAATAATTACTGGCACTGAACGTTGGCATTAATTAACATCCTCAAAATATCTGCACCAGCCAGCGTTTTGAGAACAGCCAAATAATTTGGACCGGTTTTACACTTGTGTTTAAACGTCAGCCAATTCAAAGCTCACAGGATTTCTGAGCAATAAGCTGCTCTGGAAAAAACATGATTGACTTGCATAAAACGTCCATGAAAAGCCATTGGAAATAGGTTGTGTGTGTGTGTGTGTGTGTGTGTGTGTGTGTGTGTGTGTGTGTGTGTGTGTGTGTGTGTGTGTGTGTGTGTGTGTGTGTGAGTTCCACCGTGCTGTGGTGGAAATTGTGGAGAGAGATTTTGTTAAGCGTGCGTTTTGCTCCTTTTAAAAGTTATTAGCATCATTATGAAAATAAAAGCAGTCAGCAATGGATCAGAAACAGCTGATATTTTTGATGTTTGTTTGCAGAGCCGTGTGAAATGTCAGCCTTGATTAACTGTGATGCTCCTTGTTGTGTTTCCTGTCCGGTGACTGACAGAAGATCGTAATGCCACAAAAAAAAAACAAGATGGAGTCCCCGTAAAGCGGGAGGAAAGGGTGACTACTGTCAGGGACTGTTCCTGATCAAAGCAAACCAGTAGCTGCTCTGATCTTTTGCAGGATTCACGTGCAGAGGAATTCACAGAAAAACGACCAAGTAATATGGTCAGTGCTAACACAAGCTAACGAGATTTTAACGTGTTGTTTTACGACATAAAATACGTCAGTAAATACCCCACTGGTGAATTTAAAACAGCAGATGCTAACAAGTGTCTAAATGAGACGACTAAACGTCATCACGGCCTCCTTTAGCTTAGCGGTGGTGACGTGAAGTCATGTGACCGCGCTGTAGTTCCTTTATAGCCTAATATTAGCCACCTTTAGCTTAGCGGTGGTGACGTGAAGTCATGTGACCGTGCTGTAGTTCCTTTATAGTCCAACATTAGCCGCCTTTAGCTTAGCGGTGGTGACGTGAAGTCATGTGACCGTGCTGTAGTTCCTTTATAGCCCAGCATTAGCCGTCTTTAGCTTAGCGGTGGAGACGTGAAGTCATGTGACCGTGCTGTAGTTCCTTTATAGCCCAACATTAGCCACCTTTAGCTTAGCGGTGGTGACCTGAAGTCATGTGACCGTGCTGTAGTTCCTTTATAGCCCAGCATTAGCCACCTTTAGCTTAGCGGTGGTGACGTGAAGTCATGTGACTGTGCTGTAGTTCCTTTATAGCCCAGCATTAGCCACCTTTAGCTTAGCGGTGGTGACGTGAAGTCATGTGACCGTGCTGTAGTTCCTTTATAGCCCAACATTAGCCTCCTTTAGCTTAGCGGTGGTGACGAGAAGTCATGTGACCGTGCTGTAGTTCCTTTATAGCCTAATATTAGCCACCTTTAGCTTAGCGGTGGTGACGTGAAGTCATGTGACCGTGCTGTAGTTCCTTTATAGCCCAGCATTAGCCACCTTTAGCTTAGCGGTGGTGACCTAAAGTCATGTGACCGTGCTGTAGTTCCTTTATAGCCCAACATTAGCCTCCTTTAGCTTAGCGGTGGTGACGAGAAGTCATGTGACCGTGCTGTAGTTCCTTTATAGCCTAATATTAGCCACCTTTAGCTTAGCGGTGGTGACGAGAAGTCATGTGACCGTGCTGTAGTTCCTTTATAGCCAAACATTAGCCTCCTTTAGCTTAGCGGTGGTGACGAGAAGTCATGTGACCGTGCTGTAGTTCCTTTATAGCCTAACGTTAGCTTTTTACTTCAGAAATCATAAAGTGGTGTTAATATGTGGAGATTATCCTAAACGTCTGTTTTCCAAAGATAATATTTTCTGCAATAATCCAATTGGCTTTTTGTTGAGGGAACCTGGGCAATGCTAACTGCAAAAATACATCATCCCTGCACCGCTCTAATGTGCATACGACAATAAATCTTTGAATGCTTTGAAGCCATCATGGAGCTGGTTTACACACTTGTGAGGTTTTTGCATTTCCTACATGTATCCCCTCCCTTCAGTGAGACCTCGCCGCGGGGCTTTTTGATTGATGAGGCTGTGGATTGAGAGAGCTACTCCCCACAGTGAGAACAGTGTTTCTGTGGCAGGTCTGTAAATCCCTCCGTGTGCAGGAGGCAGAGTTACAGTCGGCACAGTTTCCCAGGGCTGAGCATTCAAACGGCTCCAAAACACTGCTGCAGTGGAGCATGACGGGAAGCTGAAGTAGCATTAGCGTAACACATCTCTGATAATTACATCTGTACAAAATGCATGTTGTCTAAAAATGTCATTTTTCTAAATAATACATTTCCAGAAGTTCCAGAAAAGAACAGCCTCGAGCATGCCATTCCAACATCTCACACAAACAAAGCGAGCACGAGCACACACAGATTTACCTGCTGTGGAGAGCTGTGGAAAAAGAGAAATGAAGTAACCACCCCTGCATGATCACGATCACGAGCATGCAACTAACACGGATGACAAAAAGCAACTATTTCTGCCCTAAAAAGCGAACACAGAAACCCCCCAAAGTAACCCACCCACACCAAAGCACAGATTAAGATTAAGAAAAGGCGGCACACCAGGGAAGGTGGAATCACTTGGACTGATGGACTTGCATAAAACGTCCATGAAAAGCCATTGAATATGTAGTGTTTTTAAGTTTCACCGAGCTGTAGGTGGAAATTGTGTTTAGAGATGTCTTTTAAAGGTCACCTATTATGCAAAACCCCTCTTCCTCATGTCTCTTCTACATCACATGTGTCCCCTCTTCTTCATGTCTCTTCTACATCAACATGTGTCCCCCGCTTCATGTCTCCTTCCTCCTCTTCTTCATGTCTCTTCTACATCAACATGTGTCCGGGCCATCTTCTTCATGTCTCTTCTACATCAACATGTGTCCCCTCTTCCTCATGTCTCTTCTACATCAACATGTGTCCCCTACTTCTTCATGTCTCTTCTACATCAACATGTGTCCCCTCTTCTTCATGTCTCTTCCACATCAACATGTGTCCCCCGTCTTCATGTCCATTCTACATCAACATGTCCCCTCTTCTTCATGTCTCTTCTACATCAACATGTGTCCCCTCTTCTTCATGTCTCTTCTACATCAACATGTGTCCCCTCTTCTTCATGTCTCTTCTACATCAACATGTTCTCCCTCTTCTTCATGTCTCTTCTACATCAACATGTCCCCTCTTCTTCATGTCTCTTCTACATCAACATGTGTCCCCTCTTCTTCATGTCTCTTCTACATCAACATGTGTCCCCTCTTCTTCATGTCTCTTCTACATCAACATGTGTCCCCTCTTCTTCATGTCTCTTCTACATCAACATGTGTCCCCTCTTCTTCATGTCTCTTCTACATCAACATGTGTCCCCTCTTCTTCATGTCTCTTCTACATCAACATGTGTCCCTCTTCTTCATGTCTCTTCTACATCAACATGTGTCCCCTCTTCTTCATGTCTCTTCTACATCAACATGTGTCCCCTCTTCTTCATGTCTCTTCTACATCAACATGTGTCCCCTCTTCTTCATGTCTCTTCTACATCAACATGTCCCCTCTTCTCATGTCTCTTCTACATCAACTGTCCCCTCTTCTTCATGTCTCTTCTACATCAACATGTGTCCCCTCTTCTTCATGTCTCTTCTACATCAACATGTGTCCCCTCTTCTTCATGTCTCTTCTACATCAACATGTCCCCTCTTCTTCATGTCTCTTCTACATCAACATGTGTCCCCTCTTCTTCATGTCTCTTCTACATCAACATGTGTCCCCTCTTCTTCATGTCTCTTCTACATCAACATGTGTCCCCTCTCTTCATGTCTCTTCTACATCAACACCGTGTCCCCTCTTCTTCATGTCTCTTCTACATCAACACGTGTCCCCCTCTTCTTCATGTCTCTTCTACATCAACACGTGTCCCCTCTTCTTCATGTCTCTTCTACATCAACACGTGTCCCCTCTTCTTCATGTCTCTTCTACATCAACACGTGTCCCCTCTTCTTCATGTCTCTTCTACATCAACACGTGTCCCCCTCTTCTTCATGTCTCTTCTACATCAACACGTGCCCCCCTCTTCCATGTTCTTCTACATCAACAAGTGTCCCCTCTTCTTCAGTGTCTCTTCTACATCAACACGTGTCCCCTCTTCTTCATGTCTCTTCTACATCAACACGTGTCCCCCTTCTCTTCATGTCTCTTCTACATCAACACGTGTCCCCTCTTCTCTCATGTCTCTTCTACATCAACACGTGTCCCCTCTTCTCTTCATGTCTCTTCTACATACAACACGTGTCCCCTCTTCTTCCATGTCTCTTCTACATCAACACGTGTCCCCTCTTCTCATGTCTCCTCTACATCAAACACGTTTGTCCCCTCTTCTTCATGTCCTCTTCTACATCAACATGTGTCCCCTCTTCTTCATGTCTCTTCTACATCAACATGTGTCCCCTCTTCTCCATGTCCTCTTCTTACATCAACATGTGTCCCCTCTTCTTCATGTCTCTTCTACATCAACATGTGTCCCCTCTTCTTCATGTCTCTTCTACATCAACATGTTCCCCTCTTTCTTCATGTCTCTTCTACATCAACATGTGTCCCCTCTTCTTCAGGTCCCTCTTCTACATCAACATGTGTCCCCTCTTCTTCATGTCTCTTCTACATCAACATGTGTCCCCTCTTCTTCATGTCTCTTCTTCATCAACATGTGTCCCCTCTTCTTCATGTCTCTTCTACATCAACATGTGTCCCCTCTTCTTCATGTCTCTTCTACATCAACATGTGTCCCCTCTTCTCCTGTCTCTTCTACATCAACATGTGTCCCCTCTCTTCCATGTCTCTTCTCATCAACATGTGTCCCCTCTTCTTCATGTCTCTTCTACATCAACATGTGTCCCCTCTTCTCCATGTCTCTTCTACATCAACATGTGTCCCCTCTTCTTCATGTCTCTTCTACATCAACATGTGTCCCCTCTTCTTCATGTCTCTTCTACATCAACATGTGTCCCCTCTTCTTCATGTCTCTTCTTACATCAACATGTGTCCCCTCTTCTTCATGTCTCTTCTACATCAACATGTGTCCCCTCTTCTTCATGTCTCTTCTACATCAACATGTGTCCCCTCTTCTTCATGTCTCTTCTACATCAACATGTGTCCCCTCTTCTTCATGTCTCTTCTACATCAACATGTGTCCTCTCTTCTTCATGTCTCTTCTACATCAACATGTGTCCCTCTCTTCTTCATGTCTCTTCTACATCAACATGTGTCCTCTCTTCTTCATGTCTCTTCTACATCAACATGTGTCCCCTCTTCTTCATGTCTCTTCTACATCAACATGTGTCCCTCTCTTCTTCATGTCTCTTCTACATCAACATGTGTCCCCTCTTCTTCATGTCTCTTCCTACATCAACATGTGTCCCCTCTTCTTCATGTCTCTTCTACAATCAACATGTGTCCCTCTTCTTCATGTCTCTTCTACATCAACATGTGTCCTCTCTTCTTCATGTCTCTTCTACATCAACATGTGTCCTCTCTTCTTCATGTCTCTTCTACATCAACATGTGTCCCCTCTTCTTCATGTCTCTTCTACATCAACATGTGTCCCCTCTGTGGAAAGAGACTCTGAAAGTTTCAGGAACAAAGATTCTCTCTCTTTTTGATCCATTTCTATAAAAACCTGTCTGAAAATGAGCTGATCAGATTTTGGCCACTTGATGATGTCATAACGATGTTTTGTCTTGTGTAACCATTAGCCAATCAGCAACCAAGGTAACCCCCCCCCCCTTATCACCTGAATCTTGGTGTTTCAGCCAATCAGAGACAGGCTCTGGATATATCTGAGACCTGTGATATAACAGTATAATAGGGGACCTTTAAGCGTGCGTTTTGCAATGGATCAGAAACAGCTGATATTTGTTTGCAGAGCCGTGTGAAAATACAGCCTTAATTTAACTGTGTTTTTCTCCCTGGTGTGCTTCCTGTCTAGCTTTCAGAAAGTGAACCCAGAGTAACCCTCCCCACACCAAAGCTAAGATTAAGATTAAGATAAAGGCGGCACACCAGGGAAGGTGGAATACCATAACAACACGTAGCACATATTGTTACACTATTCCACCCACCTTAACTGTGAACCCTTCGGCGTTGCTACTCCGTATCCTTTGGAGTCGAGGTTTCCTCCCACTTTCATCGTGTCGCAGGGCTTCCTTTGTTCCGTGTACTCGTTCATCGTGGACTCCAGCAGAAAGGCGTATTTCCCTTTAGACTTTCGGACGCGAACCACTCCCTCTCCGGTCGTCTTCGTGAACACGGTGGGCTCGGCAGACTTCATGTAGCCCCACATCTTCTCGTAGACGGCGATCTTCGACCGCTGTGGAGGTTTGTTAGGGAGTCGAGGTGTGAGAGATGGAGGGAAGGCAGAGACAACATGTACGCTAACAGCAACCAGGGCTGCGGTTGAACTGTCATTTTAGCTTGATAGTGGCTAGGAAACATAGTGGCTAGGATATAGTGGCTAGGAAACATAGTGGTTAGGATATAGTAGTTAAGATATAACGGTTAGGAAATAGTGGTTAGGATATAGTGGCTAGGATATAGTGGTTAGGAAATAGTGGTTAGGATATAGTGGTTTGGATATAGTGGTTATAGTGGTTAGGATATAGTGGTTAGGATATAGTGGTTAGGATATAGTGGTTAGGATATAGTGGTTTGGATATAGTGGTTATAGTGGCTAGGAAATATAGTGGTTATAGTGGTTAGGATATAGTGGTTAGGATATAGTGGTTATAGTGGCTAGGAAATATAGTGGTTATAGTGGTTAGGATATAGTGGTTAGGATATAGTGGTTTGGATATAGTGGTTAGGATATAGTGGATAGGAAATAGTGGTTAGGAAATAGTGGTTATAGTGGTTAGGATATAGTGGTTAGGAAATAGTGGTTAGGATATAGTGGTTAGGATATAGTGGTTAGGATATAGTGGTTTGGATATAGTGGTTATAGTGGTTAGGAAATAGTGGTTAGGATATAGTGGTTTGGATATAGTGGTTAGGATATAGTGGATAGGAAATAGTGGTTAGGAAATAGTGGTTATAGTGGTTAGGATATAGTGGTTAGGAAATAGTGGTTAGGATATAGTGGTTAGGATATAGTGGTTATAGTGGCTAGGAAATATAGTGGTTAGGATATAGTGGCTAGGATATAGTGGTTAGGAAATAGTGGTTAGGATATAGTGGTTAGGATATAGTGGTTATGATATAGTGGTTAGGATATAGTGGTTAGGATATAGTGGTTATTATATAGTGGTTAGGATATAATGGTTAGGATATAGTGGTTAGGATATAGTGGTTATAGTAGTTAGGATATAGTGGTTATAGTGGTTATGATATAGTGGTTAGGATATAGTGGTTAGGATATAGTGGTTAGGATATAGTGGTTAGGATATAGTGGTTAGGATATAGTGGTTATTATATAGTGGTTAGGATATAGTGGTTAGGATATAGTGGTTATTATATAGTGGTTAGGATATAGTTGTTAGGATATAGTGGTTAGGTTATAGTGGTTAGGATATAGTGGTTAGGATATAGTGGTTAGGATATAGTGGTTAGGATATAGTGGTTTGGATATAGTGGTTATAGTGGTTAGGATATAGCGGTTAGGATATAGTGGTTATAGTGGCTAGGAAATATAGTGGTTATAGTGGTTAGGATATAGTGGTTAGGATATAGTGGTTTGGATATAGTGGTTAGGATATAGTGGATAGGAAATAGTGGTTAGGAAATAGTGGTTATAGTGGTTAGGATATAGTGGTTAGGAAATAGTGGTTAGGATATAGTGGTTAGGATATAGTGGTTTGGATATAGTGGTTATAGTGGTTAGGAAATAGTGGTTAGGATATAGTGGTTTGGATATAGTGGTTAGGATATAGTGGATAGGAAATAGTGGTTAGGAAATAGTGGTTATAGTGGTTAGGATATAGTGGTTAGGAAATAGTGGTTAGGATATAGTGGTTAGGATATAGTGGTTATGGTGGCTAGGAAATATAGTGGTTAGGATATAGTGGTTAGGATATAGTGGTTATAGTGGTTAGGATATAGTGGTTAG